GATTCGTTAAGTCTTACAGTATAGCATACATGAACATGCAGATTCTGTGCAAATTCATGAAATTTTGAAATTTTTTCCTAAGAAAGTTGCGGCCGCCTCGCTGCTGCTGCGACAACAAAATAAAAATCTCTCCCGCGCCGCGATGGTTTTTGGAAAAAATCTGCCGCTGCCGCGCCGCGATGGACATCTCTGAAAAATACAAAAAATGTCGTGAACTTCTCTTAGATATAGAATTAAGGGGAAAGCAACTGATTTAAAGCAACTGCAAATCAAAATTCAATCACATGATTCACTTAAACTCATTTAAATCATCTTAAACCATTTGAACTCATTTAAATCATCTTAAACCATTTGAACTCATTTAAATTTTCTTGAATCATTTGAACTCGATTCTTATGTGTAAAAACGGCTTTTAATAATTTCAAAATAAAATCTAAGTTCCAATTTTTATTTGACTAATATTTAAGAACTTTCGATATGATTCACAAAATTAGAGAAAGTTAGGTTGGTATGCACTCGTTCATTATTCATTTTGTATCATAAAACAAGGGACGCCCTTTTCTCATTTCGAGTTACTTAGTAAGTGTCTGATATGAGTAAACATAAAATGTTCTTATGAATGTTTTTCTGTTGATCTAACGCGAATGAAATGAAACAAAAAGTGAAAGAATTCTACTCGCGTCGTCTATCTATTTAGACAGAACGACATCGAAAATAAATCCATTCTCCTTTTCTTCTTTCATTTTTTTAAGTTGTTTATTTTCCTATTCACGTCTTTTTGACTACAGCACATGTTTAAACGAAGACAAAATTATTCGACAGTTGCGGTTGTTGCTACTGCTGTTTCATCTTGAGTTGTATTGAATTTTCAACTATTTTGAATTTCATTTTGATAGATTATACGATTTGTTCGTTTAGCTTTCGTTAAGAAACTCACTAACATCATCGATCGTCTCTGCTACGTATGGTTTCTGTGAACAATTGAAATATCACATGCAGGATAGAAAACCCTAGAATATTATCTACAACTCACAAGAGAAATCTTTGTTTTGAACCAAGTTTGTTCATCATAAAATTAAAAAACCCATCTTTTAGTAGCATTATCAGGAAATCTTAGATGGTCGAGCAGTATTCTATGGTTTTTCAAAAAACTCATCCAAGATGATGTAGATGACAGCGATTATTAGTGTTTTATTTTCCCTAGTGGCAGAGAAAATACTATCGGTAGAAGGAAGATGCCTAGCTTGGCTCACCCTTGGTTATGATAACATCATTGCTAAGTTTCGATATAGTTAAAGAAACAATCTATGAACGAGAAAAAGTAAATCTACCTACGCGATAAAACCTTGACATGTCGAATAACTATATAGTTTCTCTTGCACTAGTTTTTTTATATACGAATCAGATTTTTCCATTCCATAGTTGTTATATTTATTGATGTATGAAAATAACAATAAAGATATGGTTTTATTCCAGCCGACTTTTACATTAGAAACAAGCAAATAGCAGAATTTCTCACAATAAGTGGGAATTTCAAAGATTTTTCTATGCATAGTTTTAATTTGAAGCTTGAAACTTTGAGAAATCAGTGTCTGTGAAATAGAACCTATCGATTGTATAGAAAACTTCTAGTCTTGTTTTACAGATATAAGATTTTGTCAGTATGAAATTCATAAGTTTCGAGTCTTTTTCAATACTTTGAAACATAACTGTCTATCACATACTTCTATAGTTTATCATTTACTGTCGATAGTATCTTATTGTAATTCAAAGACAATATGAAGTGATCAATTTTCTACTCAAGTCAAAAAATGAAAACAATCATTTAATGCGTTTCAAAAATAAGAAAATGACAGGAATTCAAAGACAACATCATTAGTTGGATAACTATTCTTCCGTCATGATTACATGATTTACATGAAATTTTTGTATGATTGCATATGATGTAAACGACATGAAACGAAATTGATTTATTGATTTTTCATCGTTACATTTTTATCCACGTAGTTCATTTATTTAAGGAATATTTGATGTTTTCGTTGGCAACAATACAATATATATGCATTTTATACATATAGACATATAGACTTTATATTATTTAATAAAAAGGTATAAAATGTTAATCTCATCAATCATCTTGTTTTGTTTCTCATCCACAAATACTATCGATATGATATGATAACAACTAAATGTAGCTATGAGTCTTTGTAGTGATACGTGACATTATTTTTTCTTTTCTAAATTTCATCTCTCATTTTAAAATTCATCTTGTTCTTATAAACTTGTCCGAACTTTAGTTGTTGTTATTGTACTCTATACGATGTGCAAACAAAAAATTAATATTTTTTTTGTTTTTTAACAAAAATAAAATTATATGGAAGTTGTTATTCTCAGTACATATCTAGACTTTTAATTTGATAAAAGATCTAAGATTCTAAGAGATATTATTTTACACAGATGTGAGAACTGCTTGTTCTATCAGTGTCTGCGAAGTGAAAGTTGAAATGGCATTTTCATAGATGTCGGTAATACACTTTAAATTGTACGATGAGTACGAAAAAAAAAATTACGATTAAGAAAAGAAACAGTTTAGTTGAATTATATTAAACAAAAAAGTGATATCAACCTATTTATCTAGCCAAGAAATGCAACTTTGTATACTGATCGAAACATACAATTCTGGTCTCCACAAATTACGGATCAGTAATATTCTGGAACTGTTGCTTGTTTCAATTAAAATTACGTGAAAATTCTAAATATATTAAATACACTGATGGCACTAGTTCGAATGTGATGAATATCTCATATTCAATTTTAAATACGTTTCAAAGACTATTAAATAAATAGTTTAACTTGAATATCTGATGATTATATAAAATGTGCTTTTATTATTTTGCATAACAGATAGTGTTAAGGATTTTTTTCAAAACAAATAATAATCAAAAATATAATTATAATAATAAAGATTCAGAAAGAAAACATGTGAATATACATTTACATGTCAGGAGTAGAAATAACAAAAAAAACAAGGACAAAGTTCGGAACGCACAACAAACAGACAGAAAGAGGGAAAAAATATTGATGGTTGCAAGAAAAAAAGTTACAAGCTAGGAACGCAAAAACAAACAGACAGAAAAAGAAAAAAAAGATATTGATGGTTACAGGAAAAAAATACAAGGGCAATACAATGTGTTTATTTTATCTTTATCTAGTGTTAAAAACATATATATATTTTAGATGTCGAACTCAGTTTGTATACGTCTAAATGAAATTCATATTGAATCGATATTAAATGATCATGATACATTCTTGTTTGATTGTGATGGCGTTCTCTGGTGTTCACCAAACATTCTTCCAGGTGCTATTGAATTACTTAATTGTTTAACAAAATTAGTATGTAATTATCTTTCTTTTTTTATTTTATCTTTTCATTCATTTTAAGGGTAAACGAGTATTTTTTGTGACGAATAATTCATTAAAAACTCAAAGAGGATTTTCTCAATGGCTCAATGAAATCGGCTATCAAGCTAAACCTGTATGTTAATTGTATTTCCAAATAAAAATAGAAATAAATATTTGTTTATATTTGTTTTCTAGGAACAAATCATTTGTACAGCATGGATTACTGCTCAATATCTTAAATCAATTAATTTTAAAGGTCATTGTTATTGCATTGGAATGCAATCAATGGTAGAAGAATTAGGACGAGAAGGTTTTCATATATCAGATGGTATTGGAGTAAGTATTAGACAATTCAAATTTTTGTGTTTATTCCATTCTTCTATAGCCTGATCCTGTTCCACCCGAAGCAGATTGGATCGAAACAAATACGATCAAATTTGATGATAATGTACGTAAGATATTTGTTCTAAATAGATGTTAAATTATATTATTTTCTTTATTTATAGATTAATTGTGTCATATCTGCATTTGATATTCATATCAACTATCTGAAAATAATCAAAGCAGCTACGTATCTTAGTCGACCTAATGTGTTATTCTTAGCTACCAATGATGATGTCACAACTCCACAAACTGATATAGCCATTTTACCTGGTATATAAAAAAACTTTTTTTTTGTTTTTAGAAAGTTATCCAAAAAGAGAATGTTATATTTTGATTATTGACTAATAGGAGAAGGTACGATTTTAGCTTCAATTGTGGCAGCATCAGGTCGTTCTCCAACAATATTGGGCAAACCTCGAGCTCCAATGTTTGAATCGATTCGTTTGGCTTTTCCTGATGTCAAACCTAATCGAAGTATTATGGTTGGTGATAGGTAAGAGATAATAATCATTCGAAGTAGATTTTTTTGGATCGATTTTTATTTTGCTAAAATATAGGTTGGAAACAGATATTTTATTTGGTAATCGTCAAGGTTTGACAAGTCTACTCGTATTCAGTGGAGCAACAAGTGAGAAAAAATTGGATACAATCAAACAAGCAGTTGAAAAAAATACTGCGGACAAAGATCTTTTACCAAAATTTTGTATCAAAGATGTCAATCATTTATTACAATTGATTCAATCTCGTGAAAAAACTTATTCCTAACTAAATTGAATTTAATTACTAGGTTCTTTTCATAATTGTAAACCTCTCATTAATATGCTATTTCTAATAAAATATTTTATTATCAAGAGAAATTATATTTAAATTATTTTATGCTACTCATCAGTTGATGACATTGTTTTCATTAAAACTATCAACTAAAAGAGTTTTTAAGTTGGTTAAATTAATATTTCTAACTATGGATTTATTCATGAAAAAACTATGAATGGAACGAGAAAGTAGTAGGATCAAAATGTTCTCAATGACCCTAAATAAGTTTATTTACTTTTTTTTCTGTCGGATTGTTATACTCATATGTTTCTCCTATTAGAACGAAAAAGAAATGAGCGATTTTTTTTTCTCTATTCTCTTCTTTGTATTATATAAAAAAGAGGCATCGAGTATATAGCGTCATTTTACTAAACGATATATTCTATTGAAACAAACAAACAATGTCGAATGCGAATACATCTACACAACAGCAATCAGCCAACGAAAATAAATCTGTTTTTACTGAAGCAGGTCGATCAAAAATAGCTTCTGAAGTCGGTCAATGTGGCACAGGGATGACAAATAATTCAGCAAATACTGAAAATTCATGTAAAAGTTGTAATATCAAAGAATGTGACAACGCCAACCATAAGAAAACTGGATCATCAACATGAATTTTATTAGGTTCTACAATTATTTTTATGTAAACAAGCTCTTTTATTTTTTATTGAATAAATCTTTAAAAAAAAATCAATTGAAAAGTGTAAATTTGAGTGTTTGCTAAATTCCAGCAGATATTTATCTTTGAATAAAGATCAAAATAAATTATTATTTAAAATAAACTTCATTTAATATGAAAAACGATTACGTTTGATAGAATAAATAGCTAAATTTCATTGAAAGAATTTGATTTTCTTATCAAGAAAAGTTTCTCTAATAGTTATCATTCTGATTGTCAACATTCATCAAATCTCTTAATCATCAATAATATTAACTTAGACCAATCAATGATATTAAAATTATTAGATTTTTTCTTTATTACTCAATCAAATTCCTGAACTAATTTCAGCATCAATAATCTAAAGAAAAATATGGAAAATAAAAGAAATTTCACAAGGAAAATTAAAAAAAACGATACACGATCAAATGCATTGATCAATTTGACCAAACAATCTCAATGACATAAACGAAATAATTCTATACAAATCGAAAGAAAATATTGTTTATGCAAACCACATTGTATTCTCAATTGATGGATTAAAGTCAATTTTTATTGTTTGAACATCATCTAATGTTACAACAACATTTTCATCTATAAGTCCTTCTTCAATATCAGAACTAAAATAAAAAATTCTTTTCTGCTTTTTTTTTTGTATTTTTAATTCTAAAAAATAGTCGAAAACTTACGCAGCAATACTTCGTTGTTCACTAGACATTTGTCCTTCATAATCAAGATTAAGACCACGAGATACACAAAGTGTTGCATAATGAACAGGTGCGGGAACAGATACAGATTTCGTACATCGAACATCCGTATGACATAAATAATATCTAATAGTTTTTGTTTTTAAAAAATTATTTGTATTTTGTTTTTTGAAATATTTAAAAAAAAATTCTTACGTTAATTGTTGAATTTCGTCTGGTGTAAAACCAATATCATCATATAAAACATTATAAAGCATTGGTCTTGATGTACCTTGAATAGCTGCATGAGAATTAAGATAAAAATCAAATCCATTAGGTGTAACAATATCTGTATCAATAACTGTGCCTAAAATTTAAAAAACAAGCTAATAAAAAGAAAAAAATAAGAAAATAAAAACTTTAACCTGGTTGAATATTATTTGTTTGATTTGTTTGTTTATCCCAAGTAAAAAATCGAGTGTTATGACGTTTTTTAACAATAGCAAAACAAATTTTTGGTAATTCATTATGACCATAAAGTTCTTTTTTCAATAGAAATAATTTTTGTTTTTTTTTAAATTGAATTATTTGATAAAATCAAAAGTATTACCTTTACATGCTCGTTGAATAGCTCGTACTTCATTATCAAGTACTTTTTGAAATGATCCATCATCAACACCGGCACGATAAAAAACAAGTTTATTTGGTAAACGTGTATTATGATTAGAAAATTCACGTAATAATTCTCCGACATAAATATGAAGATCTTTTATTATTTCAACTGCTATTTTTCCTTTCGGAGAATATTGTTGAACAACACGACCAGCATATTGTGTACCTAATAAAAACAAAAAAGTTTATTTTATTTTAATATATAATTTAAAAATAAACAAATAAAAACAAACTTGTCGAATCTTTTGATCCAATAACAGCAGCAATTGATGGTCGTTCACGTGAACATGTTACATGAGTACAATCAATACCAAAAAACATAAAAATATCTGTACGAGGTGATGGAGAAGTTAATGCACGCATTAATGAAACTAATTGATTAATACCACCTAGTTTTGCATTAAATTTTTGTACCAAATTCTATTTGTTGTTTTTTTTTTTCTTATTTGTAAATAGAAAATTTTTACCGATATAAACAACTTACTTGAATATACATATCCATTTTACGTGGTTCACTATTCGCCATAAGTTTATCAAAACGTGTACATTGAGTTACCATACCTGTACAAATATATTATAGATAATGCGTTGATTATCGATAATCTGAGAAATGAAAACAGAGATGACTGATTACAATTGAAAAAGTCAATTTGTTTTCTTCTTCAAAATAGTGAATTATTCTATATCAGTTTTCATAGTTTATCTTTTTAAGTTTTAGTTTTTTTTTTTCATTCATCTTAGTAAATCGTTAGATCAACAAGAGTTTTATCCGAGTTGAATTTATCTATCTCTAAATGGTGATTTTAGGTATAGATGATCTCAATTTCTATCAGATATAAATTATCTGGAATAATTTTAATGTAAAACTGAAATATGTTGTTGTAGTTTTAGAATCGTTCAATTAGATACATTTCTAATATATTTATCCGATATGTCTCTTACATCTTCAGTATGTTATAGATTTTCATTCATAATAGAAAAGAAAGAAGTTCTTATTTTTAATTATGTATACAAGTCTCAAAAACCAATTTTCTCAAACGAAGTTCATTAAATATTAAGTGATGGAAAAATGTTTAAGAATAATATATTTTTGATATTTTTCTATAATGTTTAGTACTTAGTTCGAATTCAAATAGTGATGTTAATAACTAAAGAAGTTTTCTATCTAATGCATCTAATAGCAAGATTTCATTGACGAATTTTGATGGTAAAGTTTCAAAGAAACCAGACACGGTAGTTTTCAGATCTCAGAAGATTTTGTCAATGCTATCTTTAAGAGCATAAAGTTGCGAACAAAATGAGGAGTCATCACATTATCTACAACCTGCCATTAAAAAGTTAAAAGCACCACAAAAATCTTAAAATAACGAAATGTACAAAAAAATAACCAAAAATTAACTTTTATAATTCTTTTAAGTTTTAAGAGAAGGTCGTAAAAAATGTGATGTCCTCTCATTTTCTTCAGAACTTTGTGCTCTTTAAAATCGCATTATTAAAAGATAGTTTTGAGGAGTTGAAAACTATCGTGTCCAGTTTCTGAGTAACCTTGACATTATACTTCATCTATGAAATCTTGCTATGGAATGCATTAGAATCACTATTACGAGTTGAGCTTCGTGCTTAATATTATAGAAAAATATCAAAAATATATGATTGTTAAACTATTTTTTCACCATCTTACATGATTAATAAAAAGATTCGAAGAATTTTTTATTTCAAAATAATGAATAATTTTTCGTATTTAGTAAACTATTATTGACTATCGACCATGATTGATTTTTCTTGAAAAAAGAAATATGAAAGAATTTATTTAAGTTTAAAATAAAATAAAATATATTCTTACCAAGTTTAATATTTCCGAAAAATTTAATAACATGATAAATATCATCACCAACTTGATTAAGAATATAAATGATAACTTCACAACCTAACATTTTAAGTTCATTCATTCGAGCTAAAATTATATCAGGTACAGCAGCATCTGATTTTTCAATAGCTGCTGAATTAAATCGAATACCATATTTCGACATTGCCTTTAGAAGAAAACACAACAACAACAACAACAATAACATTTGTTTTTCATTAAAAAACAACAAATATTCTAACCTGTGGAATTTTACTTGCAAAATCTCTAGCTAAACCAACTTGTCTTGCATCAGGTTCTTTTTGACTAACAAGAACAAGAGCCCATGCACGTATTTCACGTGCTTTATTAAAATGATTATTTAAATACCATTTACCAATTTGTACTCTTTCAATAATATCACGTTGATCACCTTGTGCTGATTTATATTTTATTTCAGGCGGTGCTAAAACTCTTGCAGGTATCATTAACATATCATTAGTATGAATTTTAATACCAATTTTTTGTAAATAAGCATCTTGATCAAAATGACATTCATCAGCAACACGTCGAATCATTCCAAAACGTTCACCTGGTTTAACAACAGTTTTTTTTGTTACTTTTGCTCGTTGATCAGTTGTTAAAGGTTTTAAACTTCGTTGCCATTCATCAACAGTAACTAATTCCATTGGTAAAAAATGTGATTTATTTTTATCAGCTGGATTAAATAATTCAACAACAGGTAATTGTGGATGACGTAAACGAATATTCCATTTTTCTTGAAAATAATCAGTAACATTAATTTGTTCACCTTGATGTTCACCCTGATCTTTAGAAAATGTATGTTCATTTGATGAAAGACCAAATGATTTTAAACGATATTTTCGAATTTGATTTGTATGTGTTGTTGCAAACCAAAGAGATTTTAAAATTTTACGTACTAATAATGGTTGATCTTTTGGTGAAATACCTTAAAATATATTTTTATTTTATCAATCAAAATTTGAATATATTTGATGAAAACATTCACGTTCAAAGGAAACAGTACTAATAAACATCTTAAAACTGTCTTGCGAGTAACAACTTCATAGAACTATTGAAATTAAATCTCAATTTGACGAAACAATATCTAATATAACTATTTCTGTTGGTTTTATCATTGATTTACTGAGATTTTAGCCTATTGCACAAAACCTTCGATCGAAAATTTCGTTCATAAATACAGAATGGGCCAAAAGTCATTGTACCATGAAACAACAGAATATCCAACTATACTACAGCTCGATAAAATGGGCTCATTGTTTTATCAAGGATAGAGGCATGTTCACACTACAAATCTATGTGGGTAAGGTTAACGAGTATCTTTGTTAAGTATCACTATTGACCTCAAGAAGAAAATTTTACTTTTTCACAGATAGACAAAGAAAAAAAATATACTTAATAAAGGTTCTCACTAATCTTGTCCATATAGATTCGGAATGTGAACATGCCTCTATCTTTGTTACAAAAATCAGCTCGTTTGGTCGAGCCGTAATGGAGATATTCAATTTTCTTTTCGATAAAGTGACTTTTGCACTTTCCTGTATATTGTTTTTTTTGCTATCTGTGACAAAGAAAAATTTTCTTATTGAGGTCAATGGTGATACTTAACAATGGTTCTAATTAACCTTGTTCGTATAGATATGGAGTATGAACACGCCTCTATCCTTGATAAAAACAATGAGCCCATTTGATCGAGCTGTAGCATAATTAGAT